GTGCTCCACAACGGGAGAGGCCACAACAGTGAGAGGCCCGCGTACCGCAAAAAAAAAAAAAAAAAGGTCAGAAAAGAAGGCAAAGCTGCCAGCATAATTTCCCCTTGCCCAGCCGTCTCCTGAAGTGGGGGCCACACCGTGACTGATGGCCCAGCACTTCTTGGCTCTGTCGACTTCCCTGTTAATAGGTCTTCTCCAGGGGCAGGCAGCAGGGGATTTCTCCCATCCTGCCTGCCCCTGGCTTGAGCCTTGACCATAGCAGCCCTTCCTCATGTCTTCAGCTGAACACTGAGCTGGCATTGCCTCCCCAACACACTCAGCGCTGTCGTCCTTCTAGCTGAGCAATTCTGAGCGCTGAACTTCTGCATCCAAAGTGGGGTAGGGCGGACACCCATTCTGCAGCCACTGCATCAGCCAGCTTACAGCTTTCCTGACTTTCTGTGGCTTCCCTCTCATAGGAACAGGTCACACAGATCCACCTGGAGCTCACGTATGGCAGTTCACAGGTGGCTAGTCCACAGCAAGTCTGTGTGAATTCGTAACCTCCTAAGACTCTGATCTTTAGTGACTATGGACTCTCTCCAGCTTTTCTCAGGGCAACACCGAGTATTACAACAATCACCAAACAGTTTTCTTTACAATAGTGTCCTTTGAGAGGCTTGATAATATGTTACAAGGGGTGAGGGGAGTGTCTGTTATTAAATGAGTTTGGAAAACTCTGCCTCCATAACCTTTATTGGAGATTCACAATTCGCATCAGAATATACAAGCGTCTGTGAAATCCTCCCATAAGGAAACCTGCTTAGATGGGCTGCATCCAGTGTTTTGCACTTATTTATAAGGCCCCAGCTCACCCCTATGTTCTCCAGAACACCTATGGATCTCATATTGGACACTGATGTTCTAATGAACATAGCTTGGAAATCTCAGTGGCCTGAGAATGAGTAGATGAGGGTAATCATCTAGTGATGCCTCCAGCCAGCCTTACACAAGTCTCTTCACCTCTCTAGGCCTCAGTTTCTTCATCAGTAAAATGGGGGTTAGATTAAGGCTATTTTCAAACTAATCCTGAGGGAAGTTTAAAGTGTCTATGGCCCTACCTCACGAGCTTCCTCAAGGGGTGAAGTGGAGGAGAGGTCAGCTTGGAGCCCTCCAGATCCCCTCCTCACAACTGGCTGAGCTTTGCTGAAAGCTGTTTTATGTATAATAAATTGTCCTTCTCAGAGAACCTTCAGAAACACCTTTTGGAAGAGAAGGCAGTGGGAAAGGGATAGAGGAGGGGAGGAACAGTGTGAGGATATAGATTGCTATCTTGTTGCCCTGGCTCTTGTACTACTGTCTCACTCTCCTAGTCTGGACATTGGTTCACTACTCCCACCCCAACTCCTCTGTCATCCAAAGGCTGGATATGACATGGTCTGACACCCCTGTTACCACCAGCAAACTTCTATTTCTCAAGGTGAGGCATATGGACTAGATGCTTATTAAAATGCAGATTCCTGGGCTCTACCTCAGACCTACTGAATCAGAATAGGGGAGAGCAGGACCTGAGAATCTTCATTTTAACAAAGGCTCCAGCTGATTCGTAGGGACTCTGAAGTTTCAGATCCACTGCCCAGACCTTGGGAGCTGGTAAGTTTCCACCATGCTAGGCATTTGATCCCCTCCCTCCACTGATGAGGGTTACTTCTCTGGCAGGTGCTAGACAGACAAGGGGTTTCTTATTTGTTCTAGTGGAACTTGTAACACAAAGTAAAAAAAAAAACAAAAAACAATAGAACAAGTAAACCAATTTTCCTCATAAACAGGAAAAAACACACAGAATTCCCGGATGAATACTGGAAGGTACAGCTAGGAATCAAAGTTCTGAAAAGACACTCACCCTTCCTTAATGGGGACATGCTTCTTCATCAGCTCACCTCACTCCTGATCGACTTCTTGTCCTGCCAATGCTCCTTTGCCTTCTGGATTGTGGTTCTGAAAGCTTGATGTGCCTCAGAATCGCCTGGAGGGCTTGTTCAAACAAAGATTTCTGGGCCCACCCACAGAGTTCTGATGCAGGGAGTCAGGGGTAGGGCCTGAGAATCTGCCTTTTCACAAGTTCCAAGTGCGGCTGCTGGCCGGAGTCCCCATTTCAAACGGCATGTCCCTTATGAGTTACTTAACCTCTTTATGCCTCAGGTGCTGCCTCTATAAACTGGGGATAAGAACATCTACTTCACTGGGCTCTTGTGAGGATTAAATTAGTTACTCCTCAAAAAGTACTTAGAACACTTTCTGTAATTGTTAAGCCCTCAGTAAATGTGGGCCATAATCCCAGAGAGAGGGTTGCAGTAAGGAAGCACTCTGCTAATAAAATCTTCCACACCTGCTTTATAGAACTCAAGCAGTCCCGCAAAATGAGTCCCTTTCTCCTTGCGCCCATCACATCATTTCAAGCTAGATTAAAAATAACAACACCTAAAATTTATTGAGTACTCGCTATGTGCTAGGAATACTAAGCAATTTACATGCATTCTTTCTGTCACCTTCACAATAATCCTGTGAAATGGGGCTGTAATCCCACTTGTGCAAATAAGGAGAATGAGGCTGCAAGAGTACCTAAATTTTGTAAGTATCTTGCTCTGTCTCACAACCTGTAAGTGGCAAAACTGGGATTTGAACCCCCTAAACCCACGACTGCAAAGCCCATGCCCTTCACCATCCCGGACGTAGCAAATAGGTTTCATCCTCCATCATCCCATCTGCTGACAGCTGCCTGGGGAAAAGGATTCTGAGGCATAAATATCCTGACTTAAGGGGAAGGATTGCTAGAATTGATTAGAAATGTCTAGCTGCCATGCAAACTGGTGGGGGTGGGGAGGATGTCAAAACGTAGACCAGATATTTGCTGCCCCTGCACTTTGCTATGACAACACAGATGGTGGTAAAGGTTTCCTAATTGTATTGAAGATTATATTTAAATACACACAAATCAGGTGGGTGCTCTCAGGAGCTGCTAATGATTTCAGATCTGGAGTCCAGCTCCCCTGCCCGCTGTAATTTAATTCACATTGTATTTCAGTGCACACCGATGAAGGCAAATAGTTGTGAGACTAAGTCTCATCTATAGATGATCCAAAACCATTTGTCTTTGGTTTTAGAGTTCCAGCAGGGATACGGTGCTTTAAAATTGTCATTAGACTATCTGACATGATTGATAGATATTCTAGCCAGTTTTTGGATAGTATGCAAGGATTTAAACGAGAAAGAAATAATATTCCATCTTCAGGTAAAACTTGAAGAAAACAAAGCTTTAACCTCCTGAACCTGATTCCTGATTCTGTCAACGTATTTTCAGACTATCTTAAGCCCGGCGTTCTCAATGCATGGGAAAATTGACATCAGGACATTTGTTAGAAAGCAGATTTCCAATTCCTAGCCTGGGAGATTCTAATCCAGACTGTGAGGGGTGGAGCTGGGCAACTGCACTTTAAACAGGTACGACAGGTCTTAGGACTACACCTGGGAAGCCTTACCTTAAGCAATGCTATAGAACGGCAGTTCCCACTGTTTTTCAACAGAAGGAAAAAACCTTTTCTATTCAAAACATTTCTTAGACATCACTTGATAGCAGCTGAGAAAACAAAGGATGGCAAAAAACTACAATTCATTTTGTAGTGATTATAGATAAACATGTATATGTTTACCACAATAATGTGCAAATAGATATCTGAGAGTGAGAAGGAACTATGTGCAAGAGATTGTGTTTAATTCATCTATGTGCAATGTTTGATGCACATATACATTTTAAATCTTTTGCAGATGACTCTGCAAACCTTTCCTCCACCCCTCTCCGAACCCTGCCTGCCTACAGAGGACCACAGGCCAAGGTGAGAAACCACTGACTCCAGTTTTAATTCCTACCCATTCTAGCACAGTTGTCCCTTGGCAGGTAGATGGGCCACCACTCACCTGAGGAGAGAAGCAAAGTCACATTCATGGAGCACTTACGTGACAAGTGTAGATCCATACTAGCTGCTATACATACAATTCCTTCTTCCGTCATCTGCATCAACACAGTCAAAACCCAAGTTTGATTAATAAATTCTCATTTTACTGTAAAATCAGATGTCTCCATCTCTTAAATCTCAATTCCAGTTTCTATGGTTTTTATGTCTAAAACTCACATTTGTAAATAATATTGAATCAGATAAAGGTGTTGGGTAACTACTGTGAGAAAAGCGCTATACTGAGGACCATAAAGACTTCATTAAAAATCAGTTTGGGTTGAACACTGGGGATTCTCATCATTAAAGAAATGTTCGTTTGGATATTTTTGGATGGTTCCTATTCTGTTTGTCAAATTCAAAACTCTTCTCAACTTTAGAAATGGAGAACTAGGAAGACAGGATTGTCTTTCCTTAATAAAGAGTTCCTGGGTTCTAACACATGTGGCTTAAATAAGATTATGATCCCAATTGCCTTTTGCTTAAACTCACATTCAAATTAGCTGGGGATCCCTGAGAAATCCCGGCATAGACGGTGGAAGGTGCTGGGCTAGAATTCAAAATTCACAGAGAAAATCTATGAAGCACGTGTGGACAATAAGAAACGATGAATATATGTAAAGACAAAGACACCATAATTATCAGTAACCAGAAAGTTTTTGCCCAGTGTCTGTCGTGGCTGGCACTGAAGTACTGGCTGGACATTACAGGTTTGTTTGATATTGTCGTAAATGGTAACAATGAGGAATTGGACTGTGGTAAAAACCCAAACTTAGTAACACAAGGACAAAAGCACTCAGAAAGTTGTCTTAATCGATTCAGTTCTGATCGTTTCTGGCTAGGCTATGCTCAGATTTAAAACCATCATGCTCATAGATGATTGAGCTGTAGTTCATTAAGAAATGCTTGAAGGGCGATGAGAAAGGAGAAAATGAGAACTGCTTCATTGGGAGAATTTTTTTTAATGCTATTTGTCTTCATGACGCCAAGGAGAAGCACAAGGAGATTCAGCAGCCACATTTAGTTTGTGATGACCTTTCACCTCTGTTGATCTCTGACCCAGCTGTTTCAATCACACAGACGTGGCAGCTCAACAAGGAGATGTTTAAGGAGACAGTTTTCCTTTGTAGTGCAGTGGGAGGGAAAGAGGTTGAGGAGAAAATCTCTCCAGCAAAACAAATTGCCTCTGTGCTTTAGCTGACAAAGGGTTAACAGACCATCAGGTCCAGTTTCTGCTCAGCAGTTTAATTGCTGCAGGCCAGGGAAGCATTGGAGGGAGAGAGAGAGGGCCATTACTGGGGACCTCATTTTTCAAACACCTGTCAGAAAGCTAGGCCACGGCATGGATTTGATACAGAAACCAGGAATTGGGTCTCTTTCCCAAATTCAAATGACTTGGGTCCTATTGACTTGTTCCTCAGCAGGAATTCTCTAGCTGTTAGCTACCAGGGTCCTTTTATCTTTGAATAGATTGTTTCCCCAAAGAGGCACACCATAGAGAGGGAGAGGGAGAGGGAGAGAGAGAGAGAGAGAAAGAGAGAGAGAGAGAGAGAGGAAGAGAGAGAGAGAGAGAGGGAGAGGGAGAGAGAGAGAGAGAGAGGAAGAGAGAGAGAGACAGAGACAGAGAGAGAGAGAGAGGAAGAGAGAGAGACAGAGAGAGAGAGAGGAAGAGAGAGAGAGAGAGAGGAAGAGAGAGAGACAGAGAGAGAGAGAGGAAGAGAGAGAGAGAGGGAGAGAGAGGGAGAGAGAGGAAGAAAGAGGAAGAGAGAGAGGGAGAGAGGGAGAGAGAGGGAGAGAGGGAGAGGGAGCAAGACAGAGAGACAGAGAGAGAGAGAGGAAGAGAGAGAGAGGAAGAGAGAGGAAGAGGGAGAGAGAGGGAGAGAGAGAAAGACAGAGAGAGAGAGGGAGAGAGAGAGAGGAAGAGGAGGAGAGAGAGGGAGAGAGAGGAAGAAAGAGGAAGAGAGAGAGGGAGAGAGGGAGAGAGAGGGAGAGAGGGAGAGGGAGCAAGACAGAGAGACAGAGAGAGAGAGAGGAAGAGAGAGAGAGGAAGAGAGAGGAAGAGGGAGAGAGAGGGAGAGAGAGAAAGACAGAGAGAGAGAGGGAGAGAGAGAGAGGAAGAGGAAGAGAGAGGAAGAGAGAGGAAGAGAGAGAGAGAGGGAGAGAGGGAGAGAGAGGAAGAGAGAGAGGGAGCGAGAGAGAGGAGGATAGAGACAGAGAGAGAGAGGGGGGGGGGGGGGAGGGGGAGGGGAGGGAAGGGGGAGGGGAGGGAAGGGGGAGGGGAGGGAGAGGGAGAGGGAGAGAGTGATTTTTAAAGCAGGATTCCCAAAGCTTAGGATGCATCAGAACCACCTGGAGGACTTTTTAAAACAGGCAGTAGTCAGCCCACACTGTTAGATTTGTGTCAGTAGATCTGGGTGGGACCCAGAAATTTGCACCTCTAGTAATCCCAACGTGATGCTGCTGCTGTTGGTCTTAGGACCACTTTGTGAGAACCGGTGTTCTAAAATACACTTTCCACTGTCTTCTGTGGGCCTTAATAATTACACTTACATACACACACACACCCCAGGATAATAAAATGTTACATATTTTAAGTTATAAAAATGCCAAATATTATCATTATTAATAATAGCTACTTTGAGTACCCACTGTGCGCCAGTGCTATTAATTCTCCAAGGCAGGTATTACTGCCCATTTTACCAACTAAGGCCTGACCCAGCCCAAATCCAACTCCTAAGCCTATGCACTTAACTTCTTTAATACTTTCTTAACAAGTAATAAAATGAGTCAAAATTAACCAACGTGCAAGTATTTTTAATCAACGTATTTTCTACATTTTAATAGCATACATACCTGTATTAACTCTAAGTGGAAGAGTACACTTTTCTATATATCACTTAAAGCTAAAAAAAGGAATATCCAAGGACTATTGCAAAATCAACCAGCCAACAAAGGTGTACTGAGTTCTTCCTGATACTTGACCACAGGACAAGCCAGCTTCCTGACCTAATGCACCTGAAACAATCAGGAAATAGTCTAAGATTAGCGTAAATGTCGAACATGAGTGCCGCCAGATTTTTTTTTCTGCCTTGACAGATAGTAGTAAGTGCAAAAGATAACGTGGCACCCAAACAATGTCTTAGAGCAGCGGTTCTCAAGCTTTCCCCAGTGTCAGAGTCACCTGGAGAGCTTGTCGAAACTCACACAGCTGCCTCCCAGTTTCGGATTTAGCACAACTGGTGGGAAGCCCAAGAATTTGCATTGCTAACCATTTCTCAAGTGATGCTGAATCTGCTGGTGCAGGGACCACACTTGAAGAACCACTGTTCTAAAACAAGCCTTCCTGGATTCTGATCCAATTTTTGGGCACTGATTCAGCAGACATTGCTGGAGTGCCTACCATGTGTAAAGCTTCTTTCTAGCTCTGAGGATAAAGCTGTAAACCAAACAGACAAAAATCTCTGCCCTCGGGCTTCCCTGGTGGCGCAGTGGTTGGGAGTCCGCCTGCCGATGTGGGGGGCGCGGGTTCGTGCCCCGGTCCAGGAAGATCCCACGTGCTGCGGAGCGGCTGGGCCCGTGAGCCATGGCCGCTGAGCCTGCGTGTCCGGAGCCTGTGCTCCGCAACGGGAGAGGCCACCACAGTGAGAGGCCTGCGTACCGCAAAAAAAAAAAAAAAAAAAAAATCTCTGCCCTCAAGGAGCTATCTAGGAAGGATGGCTGACAGGAAATAATAAGTACATAATGTAACAAGGGATTCTTTGAATCCCTTGTTACAAATGGACAGATAGAGGACTCTTAGTGTGTTCACCTCTCTGAGGAGATAATATCCATCAGAACAAACCAGTGTAGACATCTAGGTGAAGAGAGTTCCAAAGAGGAAGTACAAAGGGCCCTGAGACAGAAATGTGCTCAGTGTGTTCAAAGAAAGGAGACTAGTGGCAGAAGGGGCGTGTGCAAGAGGAGAGTGGTAGATGAGATTCAGATTTAACAGGAATCTGCATTTTTAAAAAGGAGATTGTAATACACATACAGGTTTGGAAATGACTTCTCAGGTGCAATTATTTCTAAAGCTCATCCAACTTTTTCTGTTTCTCATCAACACTATTTTGGTGTGAGATCTGAGAGTAGACATGTTCCCTGCAGCAGAAAACAAAGAATGCATCCTCATAGGGAAAGGTTTATTAGGCATGCCCAGGGACTGAGCTTTGCATGGTTTTTATTCAAAAAAATCATTTCTCTCTCCTAAACAGGAGTCTGAGTCAAGCTTACATACTGAATGTGCAAATGGCGTAAATAACTGAATCCAAAGAGGAAAGGGAAGCTCTTGGTGACAGACAAGATATGGAGGGCAAAGGAAGGAACGAATAGATATGCAAATGAGGATTTAGAGAAGGAAAGGAATTTACATGCGGATGACAACAGGTCTGGTTCTATACCTAATCTATGTGAATCTAATGGAAGTGTGTGTGTGTGCGCACGCATGTGCGCACATGCGCTAAGAAGTAGGGAAGATAATAAAACTTGGGGAATAGGTCATGGCTGTTTGCAAACAGGTGATAAATGAAGCCCCCTAATTAAGTAAGTTCCCTGAAGAAGTGAGCGTGTAGGGTGGAGAACAGAAGGTTGGAACTCAGCCCTGGTGTGGAGAGATGACCATGGGAGGAAGAAGAGAGAAAGAATCAACAGCAGAGTACAAGAAAAGTGCAACAGCCTACCAGCCTATTACCCTAAATTACTGTGTCTGACAGAACTGCAGTAAACACAAAATGGGCAAAGGTCAGTTCTTCTGTCCTTATGGGTATGTAACCAGCTGGTTTGTAAAAGGGAGCTCGTATTATGGAGAACACTTTATCCCATAAATAAGTCAGACTCAATTATTTTATATCAAAACAGTATCTTCGCTTTTAACGAGCACAACTGCCAATACCCCAGAGTCATGCATTAAGAATCACTATTTGCTCCTTCCTACACTTTCTAATTTCCTGCTAAGGAGACAGGGCTGAGTGGGGTCGTTAATCTGAATTAGAAATACTGTGACCTGCTCTGCACTTTGCTTGCT